TTCACAACTACTGAAAAACCAAGTTGTGCACAGCTCTCGATCTCTTCCACCACCATGTAAGAGGCAGGTGAGTATTTTGGCTCTTCAGCTGGTCACAACAGGCAAATTTTGACAGACGTATTCACTAACACAACACCCATGTCATGATCTGTAACCCTGAATCACCTACAGAAAAGCCTTCCACAGCAAAGTTTGTCCAAGTGCCAGTGGGAAAACAAACTAAAAAAACCCCCTTGAGATTAAGACTATAAATATATATAGAAATAAACAGCATTTAAAATACTGAATACAAAATAATGAACAATTTGATATAAACTAAGAATGCAGTGCAAGTAGAGAGGATCTGGCTTCTTTGCTTACCATTCTTGGAAAGGAGTGATATTTTGCAACTTTAGTCCTGCAATTATCCTAAACAAGAAATATAAATAAATTTAAAAGAGGGGCATGTTTACTCTTCTGATGCAAACTATTCCTATGATGTAAATGCTTGCTTCAAATGAGACCTAGCTAATGGCTTTAATGCCATATTAAATATGCCAAGGTAGCAATATCTTTGGCAATAAGAAAATTGCAGAATTGAAGAATGAAGATTATTAGATTTACTAACATCAGAAGCATATTTTTGGTTTGTGTACAGTACATACATTTCATTCAAACATGTTCCATTATATTTTCCACACCTCATCCGTGATTATAAGTACAGTACCTAGTCTGTACTGCTTGATTTTTATGATTTTACTCAAAAAGTTATCCTTGGTTCTCAGTCTTCAAATTAATTTAAATTTGTAAGCCAAGAAAACCAAAAATTTCTGTTTTGTGACCAAAGTGAAAACGCTGAACCCTTAAGAGAGATAGCCATTGGTTCATGATAAAATAGGATAAGTTTAAATTCTTAGGTTAAAATACAGCCATAGCATAGATTTATCTCTTAAAAAATTAACTTTTCAAAATATAATTCTTTGAACATGTTATACACTAAATATTGAGGAAAATTTCCCTGGAGATAAAATTTTTCAAGAACACCAATAATCTTCATGAAAGTAGTAAAAAAACCCCACACATACCATCTGGAGAAAAAAAAAAGGGGGGGGTTAGAGTTGGGGTCACCTTACTACAGAGTAGGTTTACCACAATTAAGATGCAGGCTTCCCCCTTAATCTTGAAAAATATGTTCATATTTACATACAGTATACACACAGTTGTGGCAATTGATTGTCAACACGTGACAAATGTATGTACCTACCCACACACAAGTAAACCTCACATGGTGAGAAAAAAACCCTGTCCCAGTAAACTCCAGTATTCATAAGTAGTGCAAATAAATACTTTGTCAGAAAACATTTTTTTCTCACAATTTTGATGTTAAAACAGGTAATTTCAATTATGTTAAAGCTAGCAGGAGTATGCTGGAAATGTTCTAATTAAGACCAACACACTTGCAAAATACAAATACTAGATCTAATGCTTGCTGGCTGCAACATGATGTTCAGCATTAAATGAAGTATGCTGTTAAAAAACTTGTCCAAATTCACATCAGAAAGTGTGTTCAAAGAAATCTGCATTTAAAATGGACAGTGACAAACAAAGTCTCCAAATGAAAACTAAAAGAATAACATAGCAATTTAAACCGTCATCTTGCAACACTCATTTTATTAGGTACTTTTACTTCACCACTTTGCTGCCTGCAGGATGAAAAAACGGCTCACCAGTCAACCAAAAAGCTGCTCACTGTAAACCCCTGTAAAGGATAATCAAGCTGGAGTTACCAATCCTGACATTTTATTTTCTTAAAATTATAAAGCCCAACAAAAATGAGTTGCAAAATGGCAGCATATTGTGATGTGGAAAAACTGTATCAAGGAATAATTAATTTTTCCCTACTTATATATACATCAAAATATAGTACCACACTTTCTCACCCCAGAATTACATGTATGTGCATGCCTGTGGACATACACAGGGAAAAATCATAGTGTTCTTTTTGACTTTCTTTTATAATGCTGCAGTTGCACTGAAATACTGCAGAAATCTAAATCTAGTCCCTCATGTCAAGTACCAAAAGTTCTAAAACAAGACAAAGCAGAGTGAATTCAGGATAAAGAGGTTTAAGTCTAAATATTTGTCACAGGTGTCAAAAAATTTAAGTATGTTTTGTACTTCATTTAGTACTTAGCATATATAATCAGAAAGCTAGCAGATTATTCCCTCAACCCATATCCTAGACACTTCTAATTTTATTTCTGCCACAGTACTTTGAAGTGTACTGAACTTCAGTGTATGAAGTTTTGCTATGATCTTAATGCACCTTGGCATAGTTTGAGAGACATCCAGAAGCATGAATAATAAACATGATACATAGCACTGGCAAAGCCTGTTATTACAGCTGCTTTGTAGGTATTATTGATGACTCATTTTGTAAAATAGATGTTGAACAGCACTTGTCTGAAAAACGACAAAACAAGCTCCCACAACTGAAACTCTGCACTTCGAGAAGTTATAGATGTACCACATTAGCACACAGCAAGAAAACTCCTTTTTTTTAAAAAAAAAAAAACAAAAAAAAAAAACAGGGATAAATTTGAACTCTTTAAAAAGCCTTATTTGGGATAGGCTTATACACAGAAGAACAAACCAAAAGACAATAGAATCATAGAATCACAGAATGGTTTGGGTTGGAAAGGACCTTAAAGATCATTTAGTTCCAACCCCCCTGCCATGGGCAGGGACACCTCCCACTAGCCCAGGTTGCTCAAAGCCTCATCCAGCCTGGCCTTGAACACCTCCAGGGATGGGGCATCCACAACTTCCCTGGGCAACCTGTTCCAGTGCCTCACCACCCGCACAGTAAAAAATTTCTTCCTAATGTCTAGTCTAAATCTACCCTCTTTCAGCTTGTACCCATTACCCCTTGTCCTCTCACTCCACTCCCTGATAAAGAGTGCCTCCCCATCTCTCCTGCAGCCCCCTTCAGGTACTGGTAGGCTGCTATTAAGTCTCCTCGGAGCCTTCTTTTCTCCAGGCTGAACAACCCAAATTCTTTCAGCCTGATGAAATGATAACAAAAGGCACATCATCAAAATGAGAACTGTAAAAATATCTTAAAAGGTAGTCTGACTAAAGTTGCAACCAATTCGAATCTATGCATGTACATTTGATTTCCATATGTGAAGTCACTGAGCTGTCTGACTTTCCTGAAATAGTTTAGTAGTGTGGGACCCCAAACATAAAAATATTTTAAAAATTAAAAAAAAAAGTAATGAAATTTAAGTGTCCTAAAACTTCTGGAGGAATGCTTACAGTGACAAATATAGAAAGTAGAGAACCTTGCTAACGAACAATCCTACTTTTAAAAATACTAATAATACAGTAATTCTTAAAAAATTACCTGACCTTTTCTGTCCCAAAGATTTAAGCAAATTATTAGTCCTTTTCAATTTACAGTGATAGCTCTTTAATAGGATTTCCTTTGTGATGGTCTCTACAAAATACAAACTTTGTACTTTCAGGAAACAGGCTAGCAAGCAATCTTCTGCACAGCCACAACTTACCAATTGTAATAGCAAAACTTTTAAAAAATAAATTATATATACAGCTTTTGACATTTTTACAGAAAATGCCTTGCATCTTAATCTCGGTTTTGCCTTCGTTCCATCTGTGTGTGACTGGTAATCCTAAGAGATTAACTTTGATTTAGAAACTGTAAGGTGTTATTTCTCATGATTCTATTTACCCTTTAACTGAACTTCTCCATCAGTCCAGGTGCCATTTAACCAATTTTATGAAAGTAAAATATGAAGCCTAGACTACCAAAGTGACTCATCAAACCACAAAAAGCCTTCAAATATTTAAATGAATTTTAATGAAAATTTTTAAAAAGTTCTATTTTAAATAGTTTCAAAAGCAAAAAAAAAAAAAACCAAAACCCCAAAAAAACCAAATACAACTACTAGCAATGCAATATCATGTAATTGTCCTGAATTTCTTAAAGACTATAATTCAAAGATAGCTTGCTATTTATAACTGCTTATGTTTATTCTTCACAGTGACAGTGAAACCAAAGTGCCCACATAAAGAACGTAACTCTTTCCTGTGGGTTTACAATTTGTAAACTTCCAGGATATCATACATGACTTGAAGCATACAGGATAAACTTTCCCCTCTTCTCTCTAGTAATCAAAAAAGAAATATAGAGAGAATGACAAACATTCTCTTGTGTAACCAGAAATGTGCTTCTAAGCAGTGTCCTCTAGCATAAGTACCAGCCAGTGCCCATACACCAGTCATATACATTCAAGGTTTGGCTCAATGGCATGAGTTCTGAATTTTCTAGAGTAGGGGCCAATCCACTAAAATAATAGTTAAAAAACTCAATGGATTATAAATACCAAGGCAATGAAGTATGATCCTTCTGGGAAAAAAGGACTGTCAGTACCCCTTTACAAAGACAGTGTTTCTAGAAAAGCATTTCACATCGAAGCTTCAGTGTTTCTAGCAAACTACTGTCTCTATCCCTGAGACAGCCCCGTTAAGAGTCTGGTCTGTCTGGACTGCAGGATTCTTCAAATGACTCCACGATCAAATTCAGGGACACTGAGAAAGCAGCTGAGAGGGGTGGGGGTGTCCTACAGCTATGATGCCATAGAAAGCAGCCGGAGAAATACTCTACCTGAACACACCTTTCAGTGATCACTACCTCACAACAACAAAAAAAAGTGGAGCAGAGATAGCCATTAGTTCCTGGGAAGGTAGTGTTTCCCTCCCACTTACAGACCAAATTGCTTTAACAGCATGGTGTTGTCTAAATTTTAGTTTATATGCAGAATGACCCTGTGTCCTGGAGGGGAAGACATGTAACATTACATATGGCTACAACGCCATTAGAAGTGCATTGTAACCTACATTATCTACTTACAATCCTCTGTCTGAGGGAAAGCAACTTTTTAATATGTATGTCTCAGTTGCTGAACATCAGAAGCTTCTGGGATGAGAGACTGGGGGCAGGCAAGAAAAAACTACCCTCATTTTAATGAAAAAAGTGCTGTAGGCAGCCAGGAGCAGCAATGACAATCCCCTCCCCAGAATTGATTGCACAGACTCAGAGAGGTCCAAAGTCACACTAGAATCTCTGAGGCACTCCTGGTTCTGAGAAAGAAAGTATGATCCAGTAGTCTTTGCAGTACTGTAGACTGAGAAAACAAACCCGTTTCTATTTCTTAACAAAGCCAATGCATCATCTCATAGGGATCACATTCACCATTTCTGCAGGTGTCTCCAGTCTCACAGTGTTGAAATGGGACTGATCAGCCTACGATGGATTGCACATCACCCAAGGAGAAAGGAAGGCATGGAAAAAGGCATACAGTACATTATATACTGCTTCACAACCATGTTTACAAGGGGGTAGGGGGGATGAAGGTGAGGAAAGAATTATTGCTGTTTCAGTAATACAGTATGATAGCTAAACCAAATCAAACAAGATCACAACAGTTAGTATTTTCACACTGCAGGATGATGGTTCACGTTTTGCCTAAGGATGAACTTACTTGGGGATTAAGGGGAAAGAGGGAGTCCTAAGGAAAGGAGTCAAAATTACACCTGGGATATGAGCTGCATATTGAAACTTGGAGATCGAGACTGCTTGGTTAGGGGAGCTCCTGGGGGCAGGAGATCTTTACCTTCCCCAGCTTGGCCTAGTCGGTCCTCCTGTAGGCTGATAGTTGAAAACCGGTTGGTGTTGCCAGCTGCTAGATTGGTAACACCCTCTGTACCAGCTCCAACACTGGAGCCTGCTTGACTGCCATTTACATAGTCAAATGATTTACTGGAGGAAGCACTGGCGGTCCTGATCAGGCTCAAACTGTTGGCTTTTGGCACCACCTGCCCAGCAGGCAGACTGAGGTGTTTCTTAGTAGGTGTCATCTCAATTATATCTGCACCAAAATCAGTGGACTGGTGCATGTACTGCTTCCGAGCTACTGAATCTCGAGGGCTCTCATTGGATTTTGCTGAAGAAGAGGTTTCTTTATCCTTAGCAGAACGCCCACTTGCTGTTTTCCTTAAGCTGCCCTTCTGGGATACAGATGATAGAGGTTTGGTCCCAACTGGCTGGCTGCTGAGGGAAGCTCCTGATGAAAATCCTTCGTCAGCATCATTAAGGTTCACAGATTCCTCTCTTCCATTTACACCTTCAGAATCTATTAAGAGAAAAAGAAACAACCAAAAAAAAACCCCAAACCAATCAGAACACACAGTTAGCACACAAGTTACATGAAGACAAAGATGTGCACAGAATGTCAAAACAATCTTCATTTGCTAATCCACCTTGTTTCCACTTGCCTAAAAATTTCTAATTCTCAGCCTACAATCCTCCTGTCATTTATCAGAATAAGGGAATCTAACAATAAGTACTCCTTGAGCTTGATTTGCCTTTCCTCTATAATCACTTCTATCAATCAGAATTATCTCCTGAACTTTGTCTATAAACAAGAAGAATTAGGCCCTGTTTGGTTAATTTTAGTTCTGTCTGCAGATACCGGTACCAATTTGCCTCCTTCATGTGGTGAGAAAAGCGGGGGGGGGAAGCGCCTTTTAGACTATTTTTATCCTATTTTATCCTATTTTTGAGGCAAGATCTCAGCATGTTCAGGACCTCTTCCAGTCAGAGATAAGTTCTGGCAAGTGCTCAGTAAGCTTCAGAATTAGATTACTTCCTAGGCCAGCAATCACAATGCTCCAACAGAGGTAGAAGGCTTCTGTTATGAGTAGCTGGCACTTCAGACAATGTGACTATACTTTCTGTTGGAGATTAACCTAATTCCTAGTTCTCTCTCCTCCAGAGCTCAATCCTCCCTGAATTTCCAGTAACCCTATCCAGGTGCTTCCATCATATTTGCTTTTATCTCAGCATCTATATTTTTCAGAGGAAAAAACCAACCCTTGTATTAAGAGAAGTTTAACCTCTGAAACACTTCATATATTGTAGAAGAGGAGCTGTGATTTTGACTGGAATCTCAAAGAGGAAAAAAAAGCCTGACAAACTTCTTTCTTAAATCCTTGTTTTCAGGTTTATAATATGGTTAGGGCTGCACACAAAGACTTTTTAAAAAAATCTTATTCCCGTCCTTTTTCTAAGCTTCAAGTACTCCAAAGAAGAGTTATTGTTTCAGTAGAAAACTGAAAAGCATTCAAACTTCAAAACTGAAAACAGAGCTTGAGTTTTTGCTACATGTATCTCATTTCAGTGGGAAAAAGCCCTAAAGTTTAACTCTGTTAGCAAAAAACGAGACAGTCAGGCTATAAAAATTTTGCTTTTCTTTATAATAGCTGAAGAGCCTGATTATTTGTGAGATCTGCAAAGCCTATGCATCTGTCACAGCTAAAGCCACTGTACTGCTCCACTGACACGTTGTTCAACTCAGTTTGCCATTAAGCAAACATGTTTAAATCTCTTTTGTGGAATGGGGAAAAAGTGGTTACAACGATCTTAAGAGATTCTAACATCTGAGTGGAAGCTCAGCTTTTCATACTGATTGTTAGCAGAGCACTAAGGATCATTTTAAATTATGGCAAGAATAAGAGACATAAAGCTTTCAGTGTTGTTGTCACCTCTGTGTAGCAGGAATATAGCCTGATCCAACTTCACACTTCTGAAGTGTAAAGCAAAAAGAAAACTTTATGGGGAGGTTTTATTATTCTGTTTTAAACTTACTTCTTCTTTTCATGAAACTTTGCCTGGGAATTACCATTACTGCGTGTCAGCTTACAAAGATGTTTAGCCATCTCCAAATCAGACCATTCTTAGGTGTCTCTCAGAACAATGCAACACAGTTCTATTTGACTCGTTAGTCTCTCAGAAGCAGAAAAGTAATATATTTCATGTTACTGCAGTCTTCCTTACTTAGTAAAAAGCCTTTAGCCTTAGAAAAATAAGTTTCTTAGGTTTCAAGAGCTATTATTGAAATAAAGAGTGCTTTACTCGCTTTAACTTCCTGTAACCATCTTTAAAATACATATACTTCCCCCTTCTCCTCACCCTGCTTGGTCAAACTAGGCCTTCACCTTCTCATTGAGACGTAGGTGTATTTTCTTATATTATACAGTGATACATTTTATTCACAATCCACCACATCTCCATTCCCCCTCCCCAACCTTCCCACACATAATCAAAAATGCTAATAAAAATATGATGTAACTGGAACATACTGAAAGCAAGAACACTTTTTAAATAAAACAACATTTATGTTTCTTTATATAATCATGCAAAGCTGGGTGAAAGCATGTTTGGTTACAAGCAGCAATAGCAGCAGCTGAAGTCCCCTCTCAAGCCCTTCTTACTCAAATGAAGGATGTGTAACTTGCAAGAAGGTCTCTCCAGACAATATTGCTAAGCTTTTTATTATTACAAGAACACTAATCCTCTTCAAAGTTTAGTTAAAACATTGCTGAGTAACAGGATGCTAAACCAGACATTCCTATTCAGGGACAGTGAAGCAGAAGAGTCATACTGAAAAAGTGGCATTTTATCCACAGAATTTAAAGATAAGACTGAGAGGGGTCATTGCAAGCTTTTTGGATGCTGCAACTATACAGAGGCCCAAGCAGCTCAGCAGTGCTCAAAAATGAAGAAGACAGAGAAGACAACGTGCAAGAGAATTTTTGACTATGGAAGTTTTCAGTGGGATTGAAGTAATTCAGAAAACACATATTCTTTTCCCAATACATTTTTCCCTCTAAAAACTGCCCTGAGAAACAATCAAGGGGAAAACCAGGATGAAATCGTAAAGTTTTCTTTTTTTTTCCCCCCAATAGACCAATAAGACAATTAAAAAAGGAAACGAAACCTAAAAACCTACTCCTCGCAAGCACTCTTCTACTCTAAGGCCAGAAGAGAGAGACAGTGCAACCTGACAGAAATCCCACCAATTGCACTACAGTGTGTATTCAGGATTCTCACTGTTCCTTATCAGAATAAGTCTGTCCCCAAAGAATTCATCATTTATGCCAGTACATAATAAATCCTGTAGACGTAGATACAGCATTCTCCACTGACCCACAATAGTGCACATAACCACGGCTGCTTCCACCCAGAAGTGGAATATCTTGTATTACTGAGTCATTCTTGAAATCATGTCTTTTTCTACTTACTGATCTGAAGAGAGAGCTTTTTACAGCTCTTTAAGGTGACTTTCATTCTGTTTATCCTTCCTATAACTGAAGGTTGAAAAGTCACTAGAAATGATCAGTCTCTTATGATATTGTTCAATATCAAAATTATATTTATGAGATGGAATTTGCTAGCTGAAGCTTTCTGTGAAATCAACATCAGTAAAATAACAGACCACTGTATATACACACAAAATTCTATACTGATAATCAAGCCAAACTCCATTCCTTGGCCTTCTCCCAGATGCTATCAACTGTCAGAATTCGGTTCGCCCAAGCATGTAATTATACATTGCTTATGTTACAGAAGTAAAAGGTGTTCAATCCACTTCAGTAAGAAGTAAAGCATGTGGAAAGATGCCTTATCCAAGAACACGCAAAATTATATAGATGTCTTAAGAAAAATTAAGACTAGAAGGCCACATCTTTATCAGCTTCTTTCCCACTTCCTGTCTCTCTCAGAAGGTTCTCTGCAGCTGAGGACTTCTCCATATCCTTCAGGTCATGCACATGCAAAGTTTAGTAAAATGGAGTAAGACCAACTGAACAAGTGAATTTAGAAGACACGACTCATTTACTGAGCATGCTCAAATCCACTATGCACCAAGGAACAGATTATAAACCTGCACTAAACATTTTTATGCAACTACCTTCTAGAGAAGAAGCATGATGTATTAACTATTGTTTGATAGCAAATCTGATTAAGGGTAAGGAAGGATTCTGTGACAACACCACATTAAATCTCCAAATTATCCAGATTATTGCTCCCAGAAGAACAATCTGAAACCTATGCAGCTCATATCCAAATACACAAATAAATCTCATTTATGATTAACTGATATGCTTATATAGGCCAGAAATACCAAAAGAATGTTCACATAGAAAAGAAGACTTAATGTAAGAAAACACTTGAAAATATGTTTAGCTAAATTTACTATAAATTAATTCTCATCTCTGAGGAAAAATCGTGATTCAGTTCAGTACTCAAAACCATGTCTTTTATGGAGTAAAGATGAGAAAATTAATAGATGAACTTAAGCAATAAGTTTCTACCAGCTACTCTACCTGCTCTTCTTGGCTGCAGAGAAGACAAAGTCCTACAGCATTTGTGTGGATAGCATGACTGAGAAAGAAAGCAGTAATTGTTTCTAAAGTTTTTAAAAACTCTACAACCTGATCTTTTCTTGAAAACAGAAGCGCTTTTTTGGTACTTGCCTTTAGAGCAGCCAGCTCATTCATGTAAATGAGGTGTACATGTATGAATCTTCAATTAAAGGATGACTGGCAAATAAAAACATCAGCAGTTGTGTGTCAGTCTTAGGCTTGACTTTTAATGGGAAACCTTGTTCTTGGAAATTTAAAAACTGCAGATTAACAAGACACTATTGTAATTAAGTTGTAGTCAAATCCTTTTATACGCTAAACTGTCTGCTTTTCATGACTAGATTCATGTTCACCTGGTGCATTTTTTCCTCTTGAATATTAGATTAAACATGCTCAGTAACAGACAGTTTCCAAGCAATCCCAAAGCTCTTGGCTATTGCACCTTTTTTTTTTTTTTGCCATGCCAAGCAGTCTTTCACCACACAGATGCAAGCCCCAGGCCAGCCCACATGATAACAAAAGGTAGTACCTGACCTGATGTTAGGTATATAGGGGATGCGTGTATTGCAAAGAGAAGCTAATACACCCTGGGATAGCGGAAACACACACTAGAATGGAAAGAAGTTCTGCTTGGGGATAGGGAGCCAGGATCCTCCTCCAGCAACTGCCTCACTGACTTCTGCCTCCTCATCTCTGTCCTACCCTCTGTTGTGGCTGTTGCCAGGGTGGGCTCCGGGAAGCCATGCTCAGGGGTCCTGCGCATCAGCACCTCCCCCTCTTGCTCACGTTTGATCCCTAGGTCTGTGGAGCCGTGTTGGATCGGTGAGCCAGGAATGCTTGAGTCAGCCTCGTTTGAGAAGTCAAAGCCATCTGGGATTCAACATACAACATTTTAGTGCTTTTCTATTCCTTTCTTGGCATTCCAACCCAGCCAGGGAAAATAGAAGATTTATGTGGACATGGAACAAACACAAAACACTACCCATGCTTAAGTTAAAAATCTAGAGAACACCCACAGAAAGGGACAGGTGGGCCATACTGCAGATCAGAGACCAGCAAATGAATACAATGGCAACTACAGTGAAGACAAACATGATCCAGAATCCTGAAAACAGAAGACAGCTACTTCTTGTCCTGGACTTCCTGATTCAGCTGAAGACCAGAGGTCATCAAATCCTTTTGCATATGATACAGAAAAAAAAAAGAGAGTATCACAGGAAAATATGTAATCCTTGTTTTCAGACTCTTTTACCGTCAGTTTATTTTTAGGTTATCCCACTTTTTACCTTCAGCCATTTATGAAGCTTTTTTTTAATCAATGTTTTATACATGCAGCAACAAAGCTTTATGACAAAGTGATTTCAAAGCAAGCTTTTTGCTACACCTATACTGAAGATGTCATCATATCAAAGTAAGTATTACTACACGTTTATTTTTCTTCTTCATACAGTCAAGCACACTTCCATACAATGCAAGTAATCACAGAGGAAAAACAAGGAATAATTCTAAGGTATCCAAAGCTATTTTATGACATGTCCCCTTTCTAAATTTGGCCATACGACGGTAGGAGTGTGATGTTCAGTTTTTCCCTCTCCCACTGCCTTCAGTAGCTTTAGGTGGCTGGAACCCTATCACGGTCTGGATAATACCATTCATTCCCTGAGCTATTTATGATAGGAGGCAGTCCAGTTTTAGTGTGGATTAAAAAAAAAACAACTCAAATTCTAAGCCAAACTCTACACCTACAATTTTATGCTTTCTTACATGGAGAAAAAAAGAAATCTTACTGAACGTTTTCCAGCTTCTCCATTTTCTCACCTACCTCATGGGTTATCAGCAAACCAAAAACAAAACAAACACCCCAAATGTTCATGTTCATGCAGTGCTCTGAAGATGTAAAATACTATACATTGTTATGAAATATCACTTTTCAAAAACAAACAAACAAAAAAACCCCTAAACAACTGTTCTGCAAACATTCAAACTCAGAAGCCAGATTACAGTGATGATGATGAATACAGTACACTACAGTGTATGTCCTTGGCAAAGAAAGCTTACCTTCTCTCCTCCAGCGATGACGACGGATAGAAGCGGTTGTAATAGCAGTCCGAGAAATCCTCGGCACTGTTGGAGTAACTTCTACTTTCAGTACCTTCTGGCCTTCTTGTGATGCATCCGGAGCATCAAAGGGCAGTGAGTTCTTCATGGCATTTGCAACCTAAGATAAAAGTAAAATGCTGCACTACTACTGTCCTTGATTGCACTAATGGCAATATCTCTTACTGGATATGGAAAGGGAAACAACCAAGAATAATTAATTATGCCAGCTCCCATCCAAATAGATGGCTCCATTCCCAAGATTCACAATTCATAACTACGTTGAAAAGCTCATCACAAACCTATTCCCAAAAGTATTGCTGAATTTCCTCTCTTTTTTGAGGTAATTTATTTAATTCCGTGTCTGACACCTGTACTGACAGAGGTAACAACCTACACAATAAAGTTCCCATCCAAAAGGACCACAAAATTACAAGGAAAATATAGTTTATATTTTATGACAAGAATGTCATAAAACTTAAGTCACAGGCCAAGCCAAGTCCAACAGCATATGGCTTTGTGCATGGGGGAGGACAGGGTCAGTTTCCACCTCACCTTACTACATACACCCCATGCCACCCCACCAAAAAAATCCAAAAAACAAACTAACCAAAAAGATTAGACTGCAGGTACTTGCAAGATTTAAAAAAAACCATGCGACCTAAGCAATGAGCATCAAATCATTAAAATGCATACATCTTTATTAGATCTGATTTTTTATTGTAATAGCCTATTATAAAGTCAGAAGTTTTGTTTTGCATGTTTGAAGAGAAGAAGTGACCTCTTTTGGCTTTGATGTTTTAACTGCTTCCTTAAATTTCCCATAAGATGCTTTTGTGGGATTAGAGGTTTAGTTCAAAAAAATAAGCAAAAGAAACTTTCAGTTAATGTTTCCTAGTTTACAAGTAAATTGTTCAAAAAGCAAACTTGTGTACCCGCTCTTGAAAAGCAGGCTGGCTCTCTACGGCATGCACATCATTCAACAATAACAAAGTTGCTGCACACAAAATGTGATTTAAAACTTTTTAAAAAGACTTCAAAGGAACACACCTTGATTTTCCAAAATCTTACTGACTTCATACCAACCAGCAATAAATATATTAAACACATTTTAAACCTAACATCACAGCTTCATTCATATATGTCTTATGTTTCACAGACATCTGACTTCCTACATGTTCTTTACTCCCTCTCTAATGAAGACAGTAGATAAAATAAGAGGATCAGAGATATCTAGACTTAAAATAAAACAACTATAGAAAAATGTAACTTTCTAGTCTCTATAAAATCCTACCTAGCAACAGTTCCCACCATAATTTAGGCAGGCTGTTCTCTCCACTAGTTTATCAGAAGCATTAGAAAAAGCAACTTTATGTTGCCTCCTAACGGATTTTCTCTTGCATAGCAAAAAAACCTGATTTTGCAACTTGAGAGAACCGAGTTCACTATAAGACAAGAGACACGCATCTATTTAAATGCATGTGGTCCGCATGTTTTAAATCCACGTTAGCCTACTTGTTAGCTCCAGGGAAAGGCACGTAAACCCTATTTTAAGACACAGATAAAACCAGGTTGACTGTTCTGTCCACTCAGATGAAACACAGACCTGCTTTAGAATATGCATCTTTGCAAGATACTCTTCTCACAATGCATACATGCATTTTTTTCCTCCTTTTAGACCATGTTCTTTTTCTAAGAATAGGCATTTTGTTTATTGTATAAAGACGTGTGGCTAGCTGATGGAATAGTATGAACTGTTCAGCACAGTACTACAATCACACATTTCCTGTTTTTATGCTGTAAGCAACATTTTTATATGTTCCCCTCAAACTAGTGACAGAATTAATGTATTTTTAAACCTCATCAATGTATCGATATTCCGAAGTTGCCAGAGACCTTGGAAATGTAAAGGACACGCAACAAATTCCTTGAATTCCCAAAGCCCACCTATACCTCATCTGTTTAACTAATTAAGTCATCTTTTATTAGCATTCACAAAAATACAAGAGAAATCTATTAAACCACTGGAACAGACCCTATTGGCAGAACATTGTATTAGTTGTCTTGTGAAGATATCTGATAACATTTGATAAAAAGATATACCAATGCATATGGCGTGCCATAAAAGCTCCATGAATTAAAGTTGTTTATTTTCATTATAATAAAGTAAAAGTTACTTCCCTACAAGTTATAACAGCCAAGCCATCCAGCAACCATGAGAAGAAATCAAAAGCCACAGATCACAGGATATTAACTAAATCAAAGATATTTCACTTCCTGGGAGGCTGGAATGGCTGCCATACAGCTGATCCTGACCTCCAGCTGCTGTTGTGATCCTATAACTCCCCGTTAAACACCTTCCCCACTGCCCTCCTATCTGACTTCTAACCAGCATGAAAAATTATTGGCACCATCACAGAAATGCTCCTTATCATTCTGCTTTCCACTTGTCCAACACTGATTTGCCTGTTGCTAGCCAATTCTCTCTGTCTCAACACTTGTTTGTGAATTGCTCTCCTATTCACACATAGGCCTTTTTCAGTGTCATCCTCTCAAAATGGTACAAACTGTATTCATCCCATCCTTGATCACACTAAAGACTTCAGAAACTCATTTCTGCTGTCCTGAACCAAAGCAGGTCAAGTTCAACAGTATACAGTGGTTTGCCTTCCCATGACTTTCTACTCACTAGAGCTGCACCCTCTTATGAGTAGGTATCCTTCTCAGTATACAGTATTAGAATCTAAAAATTAGTAGCAAAAATTTCTGCAACAGGACCAGAAAAGTGACAGAGCACTTCTGCTTGTTGAACCTTTTAACAGCTGGCCCTTTCTAACAGCAAAAATTGTACTTCTGGATACTGAGGAGAACCATATGGAGATAAAAACCAATGAACAGTAAAACTTTGAAGCAACCTAAACAGCCCATTTGAATGAGTCACAGGCCTTCTCTGACAGAAAAAAACAAAACTGTGCTCTTTCAGGATGCAAAAAAATTTGCTCACTATGCCTAACCCAGCACTGAAAGACAGAAAAACAAACGAACAGCACAATTCAGACTTGGCAAACCAACTCTGCAGCTATCAATGACAAAGGAGGGCTGGTTTCACGCCAGACATCCACACTTGTCTACCAGGAAGGAGCTCTAACAAAAAGAGCATCCAACAAAAGCAGTAAGAACATCAATAAAATACTCTGGATAAATGTGCTGTCACAACAGGAACTTGCTGATCCATGCTTCTTGTCTACTGGGCTAAGAAAGTGTGTGCATCTCTGTACTGAAGACAGGGATTTCCATCTGAAACAAGTGCAGAACTCTTGTGTTCAGAGTAAGAGACTGACTGACTGGAACTGAGCTATTCCCCAGGTCCAGGCTAGCCTGGTAGTAATATCGAGTCTTACTGATTTAAGTTTACCTCTGTAGAAACTCCTGGTTTTCATGGTTATGAAACCAATACCCAGTGTTTGTTAACAGAGATACTCTTCCTAGAAAAAGCCTTTCTCTTGCATTATTTCCTGCTCTTTCCATTGCAGTCTTTGGGTAACAGTGAAAGACCACTTCTACATTACAGATACATCATAGCTTTCTGATACTGCTATTTCAGCTTTTTTTTTTTTTTTTTTAAGTCCGCAGGCAATATAGTCATAGAAAGGTTGGAAAAGACCTCAAGGATCAGC